CATATAAAAACAACACAATAGAAACATACACACAAATAGCACAGACACAGCATAAAGAGTTCATTCAGCGACTACACACAGGGCATCTTGGTCCTTTTCATGTTTCCTGATCAACGGGTGGCGTTGATATAGTATGACCGAGTAAGTTACAAACGAGTTTTTTGTACCGCTCCGTTCTTGTTTTGATTGACAGTAGTCGCCCACTTCGCGACGACTTGACCTAGTTATGATGGAGCGGGTGGCTGTTGTCTTCCAAGATTCTTCCGAATTTTCTTAGACATTTTTGCCCATAAAGTTTATTTAAATATGGTAATGTTGTGCGCGTGATCTTTGATGCCCTTTTTATAATGTTTTCTAGGCGGCGCAACAGTTTACATTATAGCTTCAAGAACAAATGACAAGTCCAAGATATGAATACATTTCACAATGCTACTTAATACTAATTTTCTCCTTTTAACAAACTGGAGCACCATACATCCTGACTCTCTGAGGACCAAGTAACAAATGCCCTTCTACCTCGTAGTTTTAGTACAGACAGAGATCTTTATCCCCGTGCAAATGGCATGCCTATGCTATGTGATTACAAATCACCTCATGTCACAGTGAGTTTCAAACGAGGCTGTGACAAGCCCATTTGATTTAAATTAGACCATTTTACAAGTTATTTTGTTCCAGGATTGAATTATTTGTTCTAAAAAAATATTTAATAGAAAGGTTTCATTCTTTGTGAGTATTGTTTCATTAAAAAAACGTTTTACTAATATCCACAAAGATTTAACACAGTCTAACCACGTGTCTTCAAACAAAGTCTTACCTTGTGCTTTACCAAATGTCTTAAAACTAAGTTTTACCAAGTGTCTTAACATTTCTGACCATTCTGTATGTGAAACAAGCCACTAGATCTACTCGATCTGTCTCTTCCATGATACAAAGACACGAAACACAATACTTGATGTTCTGACTGGCTTTTCCAAATAGTTTGCCATGACCATTTTGATCTTTTTGGTTTGCACATAGCTTGTCGCATTGATGTCACATCTAACAAAAGGCTGCAGCAGTTCAGATTTTGATTAAATCTTGAATTCAGACATTACATAAGATGACAGCATGACCACATCCTGTAGCCCCTAGCCCGTTAGAGACAAACGACTGGACATAACTTTGTTGTCTTTGGGAGGTCCGGCTAGGCCACAACAACTGACCACGCTGTCCGAGGGAATGTGTAATTAAAGAATCGAATCCTCCACGATTATAAATCAATGGTTCTTTTGATGTGAAAGAAACGAACCCATGCACAAGTGGACGCAGTGGTCAGTTTGGCGGGTTTTAATTAGCTGCTACAGATTGCTTTAGAGACGTCAGTGCTAACATGGGCGTAGCCGTGGACAAAGGGGCTTGTTATGGGAACTGGGAGAGAGGTATCTCCAATCTTCACGGATCGTAAACTACTTGACATGCCCAAGAATACTGACCACGGCGTTCTTTTTTTTATATTCTCCTAATTAACTAATTTGGAGTCGATGACTGACCGCCTCGGGGGTTCTGGCGATCCAATACCGCGGGGGATCACTTATCACACGGCGGCCGCGTGTACAGGAAGCAAGGCAACACAGAGTTGTCGTCCAAGGCAAACAAGTTCAAAGTGGACAATGGTCAATTTTGGTATTCTCCAATTTCATGTCCGGCACGAATGTCCAGAATAACATCCGTACGTAGTCTGATTGTTGTGTTTAGTGCTGAAACTCACGGTGTTACAAGGACGTCTTTCAGAAAGTGGCGAGCATGTTGATGAGCGTATGTTTAGCTGCTGCGCTTAAAGTAACGAGTTGAAATTCAGACGATATTGCCAAACTTGATGGCCTTTATCTGAATAGCGTACATTGATTCAGGGCAAGGAAAAGGTTTTTGATCGTTTGTGCTTGCCACAGGGCAGTGTCTTACACCAATGGCTGTAGAAACATGACCCATGGACCATTAAGTGCAATGATGTATGTAGCTTTTCTGTGGGTGTGTTTTTATCTGGGATATGGGTGTGATGACATTTCTGTGGGTGTCTCTTTATGTGGCATATCTGTGATGACATTTCTGCGGATGTGTCTTTATGTGGAATGTGTGTGATGACATTTCTGCGGATGTGTCTTTATGTGGAATGTGTGTGATGACATTTCTGCGGATGTGTCTTTATGTGGAATGTGTGTGATGACTTTTCTGCGGATGTGTCTTTATGTGGAATGTGTGTGATGACTTTTCTGCGGATGTGTCTTTATGTGGAATGTGTGTGATGACTTTTCTGCGGATGTGTCTTTATGTGGAATGTGTGTGATGACATTTCTGCGGATGTGTTTTTATGTAGAATGTGTTTGATGACATTTCTATCAATACGGATGCTACAATAAATTTAACATTCTTTTCCCCACAAAAATGTACAAAGAATTTTGCCGTAAGCTTTTTATCATGTTTGTCATTTCAAATATGTTTGATATCCCTTTTAAGATATTAATTATAGAACAGATAATTGCAACTTTTACCCACCGGCTACCTCCGGCGTTTCATTGAGATACACTGAAAATAGCTCAATTGTGGAAAAAAAACAAAAAACAAGGTTCATGTCGCTTGTGTTTGTGTCAATTAGTTTGGATGGGTCATATAATTAAACTTGTAATAGATCTGGACTTACAATAATGGATCTGCGCGATTACAAATATTTTTACCA